GTTGCACATTTACGCCGGAACAACCTTGATATGATACAGTGTTCTTTTTTATAAAAGTAGCTTATATTTTCTATTCACATAAGTTGCATTAGCTGTCTAAGAGAGTATAATGTTATGATGGGCAAAAACCCATAAATTATAGCAGAAAGTGATGGCTGGTTATCGAATGCCACCTCCAAAGGCTATGCCGGAGGAGATAGTCACTATCATGGAACTAGCGTGGAATCACGATCCAGAAAAACGTCCTGACGCTAGCTCACTTCGGAAACTTTTAGATGAAGTGAACAAAGTGAGTAAACTTAGGTAGATTTCTACTAAATATCACGTAACTTCACTAGTATTCTGCATGACGTTCGCCTCGAGAAACGAGAACGTATATGGGGAATACAGAATATTCGCTGCTAATTCATGCACTTGTAAAATAGAAAATGCCAATGTTACTGGACTTTGTTTAGAAATACGGTGGCGATGAAGAAAGATCGAAGATGGTGTTGACAACAAAAAGTCGAGCATTGTAGAATTAACATGTCATTTCGTCCCTCTCACTGTTAATGTTCGTCATAAGAATTCGCGCATTTCTTCTTTTCTAGATCCAAATTTACTTCGTATCTGTATCTATGTGTAACTGGAATGTGTCAAGTCTGTAAATAAAATATTTTGAGAAAAATTCATTCATGACAGGATGTTTATTTATTTTTGTTTTTCTAAATAGCCTATCATGGGAATTTTCACCATCGGGAATTTTTATTCTCATGGATAATCGCCTCACTATCGTATTTATTCGCATTATATCGCATATATATCTTATATATCGCATCAACAACTAAACATCCTAAAGGATCGTCTACTCTCAAGCTTACATGCTTCGCTGGAAAGTGTGCAAACTTTCCTTTTCCTTTTCATCACCTTTCTAGTATGTCGCATATTTCAACCAGTAACCAATTAAAAGGCGAAAAAATACTCTCTAATCCTAGGTCTATTCAAATTTGACAAAGCGGAAAGATTTAACACTTCTTTGCAAAGTATGGAAATGATCAATATGCCGAATGTCTTTATTACAAGTGATGTTTTCTGGAGTACAATAAATGAAAGATCGCACAGTTCAACTCTCTTTCTTTCCTTTCGATGAACTCTTCGACAAAATGTCTAGACTTTCATGTTAATGCCGTAATGAATCGAGGCAAATCAACCGCAAATCCTGAGATCAGAGAATGGCTGATGTAAACAACAGAATTGAATAGTAAATACAGATCAACAACCTAGCAGAACTTCGCACATAGTTCAATAACACAAGAAAATTGTGTCTCACTATCGTTAGTGATAGGCGTCCAAAATCAAACGAGTTCACTGTCGTTTATGATAGTTGTCTAGAACCGTCTTGCTCTGAATATTCCGTTTCTATTAATTTGGTTAGCGTCTGATGCTGAAGTGTTCGTTGGCCTGTTCGTTGGCCTATTCGTTGGCCTATTCGTAGATCGGTTGTTCGACTGAACCCTTCTAGCAGCTGAAGTTGTGATAGTAGGCGATGTAATGCTGTTCCTTGTGACTTGGCTTCTCTGAACAAAGTATTTTTCGGAGTATGTTTCTGATTTCAAAGGAGATATTCATGTTTTCTCTACTGGTAGTTCAAAAGTGAAAAATGAATGCAGTGCAAGCTCTATAGATATTTGTGATGCATAAAGGTTACGGCTGGACAAATATCGTAACCTAAACGATAGTGGTGCACAGAAAAACTGATTTTAATGACAGTTACGTGTAAATTTATCACTGAAATAAACTATTGCAGCTGGAAAACTAGTGTAAGATTCACCGCTGGACACCGATACAGCGTGTTAATTCGATTTATGTCACTGGCGCTGAAATATGAACGTGGATAGACGATTCCGGGAAAATTGTAGTGCATCAGTGATGTCCGATCATACGGTCCCATATAGTATGCCACCGATTTCGGATAAATCTTATAATTGTAATGCGTTCCACTTCCTCGAACTCGTGGATCGCGGTCTTCCCTAAAGGTGAAGCTATTTATCACCTATAGAGTTATTCGCAGATGTGATAAAAGCAAAAGGAGAAATTCGATGGGAAATCCGACCGTTGATGTTCATGATAGAATCCAATAATGTGCATTAATTCATGCATAACTGTTCCACGACCATTTACAACAAGACAACTTGGATGAAGACGCATTCGCGTCTCTATATTGCCCTCGGAAGTCCTAAATATGGGCGAAGTTTGCCGTCCAATATACGAGAAGCATCTAAAACGTAGTATTAAATGTTGCCTAATGTAAGTCAATAGAAACGTGATCTTCATAAAGTAAGAAAGGTTTTTCGAAAGTAAGAAAGGTTTTTCTAGAGATACGTTTAATAAAGCGCTTATCACGTAATCATCGAAGTGTAAGCCTTCACCTCTCAAGATTGTAGTTCTTGTTTATTGCCATATAATAACGATCAGCTCTAGTTCGTGGTCGGAATGAGATGCAAGAGTGTCTGGGAAATTCGGCCATCCCGGAAAGAATGACTGATCTTTCCCAAGTACTGTAGTGAGAAGCAATTTCGTATGGTACTACACCTCCTGGCCAAATTCTAAATTTGTACGATTATCATAAGTTCAGATTTTATTACTGATTTGGGCCCCAATTCCGAAGAATCTATGAAAATCTTGAAAAAAATAACCTACTTTTCTCGCCATTGTGATGGATGAACAGCAAGGCGTTTACTTCGATGGTGTTTTCGAAAAACTTCAGTTGAACTGATATTGCTCGATTCAATGACAAGCAGCTTAAGTGAAGATGATTGTTTTTTAATTGAATTCTATGAAGTGAGAAACATCAGGGGTGTAATGCCAAAAGATGGACCATAAGAAAATCTACGATTATTAGTACGATATGGCAGCCCGAATAAATCGTGGACTTTTGATTAGAATCTTACGCAGTAGAGATGGATTCCTTATAATATATACGGAACATAGTGTACGAAGTTCTAAAAGGGTGATAAGTAAGGATTACCGAAATGGCCGCGAAGGTCAGATGTACGATCGCTGATGTCATTAGGTGCGAATGATGAACTAACACTGCAAAGTTCAGTACTACGCAGCTAAGACTTTCAACAGGTGACCTTTATAGTGCTCACGAACGGGTGGGTTCAGACGGTGACGGTGACTATCAAAGTACAAGTTGAGAGCAAACCTTGAGAGAGATAAATGATACACTAGGGAGGACTGCAAAAGTAATCAAAAGGACGGACAAGGTCGTACTCGAATGCGCTCACCTTCTGTCAACTGCTCAATCAGTCATCCCATCGAAAGGGAGCCGTAAACTCTAATGATCCTTGCCCGACAACCCAAAAGATCAACGATCAAGAGTATTCCTGAGCTTGCAGAATTTTCACTGATATGTAGTCGTGTTGTAATCCATAATGATTCGGATGTTGTTCATGAGGATAGCAACAACTAGAGGATTTTTAGAGAATCCTTTGAAGTTGTTAAAGCAACGATAGCACTAAATTAGCACATTCATGACGACATTCATTGATTTCAACCACCAATTTCACAAACAAAAGCACGCTTTGCGATTTGAATGAGCTTTCCAGCCGAACATTACCAAATCGAAGAAAAAATCATGAAAGTCCAAAGATTTTTGCTCGCAAGTTGCAAGTGGTCTTATTCTATTATGCTAAAAATCTGAATGCTTCTCATTGTTAAGTCAATAAATCATTCCTCTTTTAGCTTTTTGCTAAGGCTCAAGTAGAAAAGAGTTTAAATGAGCGAAATTTGTTTGGAAAGACATAATTATGTCAATGAATACATCATTAATGATCGTTCAGGGGCCTCTGTCGAAAATTTCGAAACATAAGACACTTCCAGTTTTTAATTCGCTAAGCTTTCAGTAGAATTGCAGTGAAATCACATGTGATTACACCTACGTAGGGTGGCCAAGAAAAGTTTTTTCAATTCAACTATTCACATTCTCTTTTTGTTAAAACATTTATTCAATCAAAAAACTGCCGCCGTATTGCTGTTCTTATTATTCACAAGTCATTGTTTGGATTCTGGAAAGCTAGTAAGGGATGACAAAATAACTATATGAAAAATTATTCTCAAGTCACACAAACATTTTTTGAATTCAATTTCGAGAATTCCATTGAATTAAAATGATTTATAAGAAAGATGAAAGTGTGTTCCTTCAACTTGAACTTTATTTCACTTTCAATGATCGTTCCTGGGTCTGAATGTTTTTATTCATAGTTTACACAGATAGATATGACTGAATAAAATTTGAATTCTCAAAAAAGTTTGTTTATAAAAATTACTTGTCTCTTGAAAAATCTTTAGCTAATATCACAAGAAAAATGGGAAGAACAATGTAGTGATTCGGCATGCTCATAATTCCCTCAGGTTACAGAGAACAAATTACTGCACTTTAGTGATTTCCTTAAATTAACATCAGAAACTTATCACTTAATCATTTGACACGAATCACATCTTTAATTCAACTGTGCAAGTGTCAGTACTTCTAGCGCTCGACTCGTCTCCTTCCTTGCATGAGGATTTTATGTTCCTTAAGGGCTTCGTAGAATAGTGGTCAAACACGCCTTCTTCCAGTCGCGTGGATGGCCAGGCTGAGACGCTTTGTACGGTGTTCGTTGTTGATTACCGGAGAGTGTTGGAGAAGACGAGAATTTAGGCTTGTTAAGCTGCGCCGAACATGGCTATTCACTCGGGCACCGGCCCTCAGATCAAGAACAGGTGGAAAAATCCTGCCTTCTTCCAGAAACAACGTTATCCAGGGATATAAGGACTTAATAATGGAACTCAGTTGAGCTTTCGTTTTTCGAAAAGGTATACTGCTCTTAGAATCTGACTTATAATGAAGGTATATGGACCTAAATGCTTGTTTGGCTCATTGAATGAGCGCAGTAACGGAAAAGCTTTCATTAGTTTTAATGACTAACTCTACTATATAGTAAACTCAATAATGTAAAGTGGTGTGCAAAAACATTCGCGTCAGCCGGGATTCGAACCCAGGTCTCATTTTTTCCGAAAGCGTGTGCTGAATAGTTACACCACCGACGGTCGTTTTGCACACCGCTCTAGCGAGTGAGTTTATTGTTTGATGTTTTTGCACACCGCTCTTCATTATCGGGTTTAATGTAACATCATACCACCGCAATACGCGGTCAAATAAAATGAGTTCTACTACATGGTACCAATTGTACATTTATGGAAATCGATGTAAGTCAGTCTGTGAGGTCTTCTCTAAAAAAAACTTCTTGGGTAGCAAAATTATCGCATTAGAAAATGCTATTCACATATATCATCGGCGTGAAAGTGTCACGTTCAAGAAGTGTAGTGCACATCTGTACGTATTCAGTCATACTCTTCTTGCCTCCCAACCACACCTTTTCAAGTCACGAATGAAGTAAGATAACATCTGAAGCAGCCCTGAAGTCTGGAATATTGTTTGATCTGAAATACACCATGACTTATTAGTGATTCATCGAATCTGTGGTGTAGTATTCGGTTTTCGACCATATTCGTTGTGCGTCCCAATTCAGCGTTCGTGGAAAAGTTATGTTTTGGTGGTTTTCAAAGTCTGGTACGATTACTCGATAGCTCAACTCGCAATAGAATTGGAAATATATCCGTCTTTGAAGAGATTTTCGAGTTCTTTCCGATTAGAAAGAAACAAAAGAAAAACCGATCTTATTCGCTGAAGAGGAACTTTTTATAGGAGCATTGGTGACCATACGAAAGCTGAGACTCGAGGCTACACTCACACGTCGCTGGCTTTCCAAAACTCACCTTTCGTCTTTATTTTTTATACGCGTATAATTCGCTGGAAGCCGAAAAGCATACCAATGTGTAGAGAAAATTCCGTAGTATCTTGGTCAATCGTTTTATTTATAGTTTCTTACAAAGCGGAAGAAAAAACTACCAATTGAATAACATCGTAACTGGGTGGTTGTCCTTTCAAGTTCACCCCACTTCCGCACTCACTCGCTGTACATTGTCTTGTCTCGTAACCTTTACACACTCGTGTCCTCTAAGATTTGTAAACTCGAGGTGTAAGCAAAACTTTGCATGTTGAAATGATTAACAAACGAGAAGTCTACACTACTAATTTTTTCCCAGAATAACTAATTTGGCTTCTTTTGCATAGTTACTCCTTGAGCTATAAGTTGTTGGAGTTCAACAACGCAGAAGAAAATTTGTTCACATTGATACACGTGAGAAGAGTAAAGACTGACGCAGGTTGCGGATCAAGAGGTCCCTTTTGTGCTAATGGACCACCACAACCACCTGCACGTGATCAAATTGAGATCAATTGGAGAAGTAGGGACTGGATGAGGTGCAGAAAAATATCCTGAGGTTATTCATATAAATGCGTAGAATATAGCAAACCGCCCAACGGAGTTTTGCTATCTTTTCGGGAATTACATGATAATTTAGGCAGCGCAAATGGTCTACGAACTTAGAGAGCAAGTGGTATCGCAGAGGTTCGAGGACCTTAGACAGAAATGGTCCAAGTGACAAGGGCGGCACCCAGCTGCCACCAACCTCAACAGTCAGTTCGATCGCGGGTCATCATCCGAACGGTCGTCTGACATCACCCGGACCACCTCACCTCAGTACATTGTCGATCCATTATTGCTCTCTCTACACAACCTCGCTGTCTTGTAACTAATTACTTCATAAGGTTGCATTCATACAACTCAGATGAATTCAATAGATTTGTGAGCGGAACATAGTACTTCCGTGGCGGAGCAAACTCACTTTGGCTATGCTCGACCCATCACCACGGTTTAGGGATTCTGCCCATATCTAATCACTAGCTACCCCACTGCTAACTCTATATACTCACCCACTGGATCCCGCAAACGGTGTTCTACTTGGGGGCGAACATAGCATTCCCAAATGGGCTCCGCCGCTTAGTCATGCTTCGACAATTACGAAACATCGTCAATTACAATAACATTGTCACTTGTCATAACAATGTCAAATGCAATAACATGATCATATGCAATAACATGATCACTTACGATAACATCTTCAATTACAATAACATTGTCATCTGTCATACAATGTCAAAAAGCAATAACAATGTCATATGCAATAACATGATCACTTGATAACATCATCACCGTCAGCTACAATAACACCACTTGCCATAATACTGTCCTCCATACTTCTCATCAGTCGGTCACCCATATTGACTTACGCATATGTTCGCATAACGATATGTCGTGATCATATATATATATATATATATATATATATATATATATATATATATATATATATATAATATTATCATTTTAGTAATGCATGTATATTACAGGTTGTTTTGGTATAATCCATATAAAGGATTTAAACTCTTCTCTCTTGTCCGCTGCGAGACACAAATCGCCAGCGGATCACAGCAGCAAAACCACTGAACCTTCACCACATAGAACACTTGAATTTGGTGCTCAAGTCATCACGACAGATAATAATATGAGGACAAAAAAAACGGGTATAGAAAATTAGTACTCGAGGAACGATAGTGCAAAGTTTTTTCTATAATTCTGTAGAGTGCAAAACTCCCGAACTGCAGTAATAATCAGAAAACAATCAAAGATTTTCGATAAACTAACATTGCATGCTGTGTTCGGCATAATTTTCACGAATTCTTTATTAATTTTGAACTGCAAACACTAAGTTAACTTTTGCGTATTATGTGGAATGAAAGTATATTTAGAATAAAAAATTCATGGTCTAGTATTCTTGGCACAACTTATGAGAATTCACTGAAACAAGTGGTCTATCACTGCATACTGAAAAGCCGCTTAGAGTTATTCGGCCGTGCCATACTTTTTCCCGCTTTTATTTTATTCATTTTTTTCTATTTCAAAATTAATTATTGTCAAACAGCTGTGGTCTGTTGGAGAGTGTTCTAGTAGCTTTAGCCAAGCGGGTATAAAAAGGCCTATCAAGAAGAAATTGGCTCCTACAAAGCGATGTCTTGTTAGGCACTTCACACATTCGTTGCGACAACTAAGACAGGATTTTCTCAAGTCAATATCACAAGAGGTGAGTTTTGAGTTCGAGCGTTCTGCGAGAAAACACGCGCCACTCCTCCAAATTGGATCGCGGCAAAAAACCTGTCAGCTCAACCAAGACACAAGTTCCGTGTTCAGAAGATTATGCTCTCGGTCTTTTCAAATTGGGAAGACATGTTGATTTGGGATAGCTCGACAACAAGCAGGCAATCAACGCCGGTGTTCACGATGTAAACGACTACGAAAGTTGACTGCAGCAGTGAGAGAGAAGCATCTGAAACGACGCCGTTTTGCCCTTGTCCATGATAACGTTCGACCGCACATTGCAAAGACGACTCGCCAAGTTCTGCAGAAACTAGGCAGGATGCGTATCACATTCACTGTATAGTCTTGATACTGTTCCATCGGATTAACATGTCCTCCGCGCCTTGTAGCAGCATCTGAGCGAGAAAACTTTAAGACCATAACCAACTCAAATGTGACGTACCAAATTCTTTCTTCACCTTCATTCTTTTAGGAGGAAGGCATTCAATCGCTGCATATTACCGGTTATAATGGTGATTATATTGCTTGATAATTGATTTCTTTAGATAGATTGAAATCGAGTTAACAAAATTGTCGAAATGTGAAGGAAGCGGTGGTGAAACAATAGTTGTACCAGAGTACATGTGGATTTACAAAAAGTTATTACCATGGTTTAGTGAGGTAAATAATCACCCATAAGACAATATAACAAAGTCTCTTCTACAACTTAATCGAAGTTCCATTAAGAAGAAGACTAATATTAAGATAAGTTTCTTCGAACTATCGTTGAAGAGGCATAGCAATGCAATGCACACAGTCATTTATGACAAATATTTCATTGGTACATAATTGTTTTGACTTGTTTTAACACGTTGGCAACCGTTTTCTGCCCTTATCGCACACCGCGTGTGCGGCGGCGGGGAGGCGCGGCGGCGCGATGGGTCGGAGTTCGTACTATCAGCTTTGCGATGCAAATATGGTAGTTCCTTTGATAATCTGAGGTACTGAGGGGATATTGTTGTGAGAAAACGATGAAATATAACAGGAGATACTTGGACAAAATTTTTATACTCTAAGGAAATGCCCATGTATCGAAAACCATTCAAGTTTTCAACGGGAAAATCAATTACTGTGAGAGGGAACTTATTGCCAGCTATTATATAATTACGTTTCTTTCTTTTTTACCCATGCTTTTCTATATACCACTATGTTTATTCGTGAAAAGACTTTTATAGCCCGTTCCACAACGAAAAGGACACGTTTTACAGTCAAATTTCGTTTTTTATCAACTTCACAAGGTAATTCTTGGCATTACAAAGTTAAATTTTGATTCAAGATAACTATCGATACAGAATAATAACTATGATGCAAAATAAAGAAACGTTTTAGAAAAGGCTCCTATAAAGGGTTTATAGTAAAGAAAAGCTCATGAAATCTTCTATGCTTGATTTATTCTGGTTTATTCATGTTTTTAATAGTCATTCGATAACTTGAATAACACCGCTTCGATACCAAGCCTGGCTCGTGAAAGGACCCTCAGTACTAGTTATACCAAAGGAGAAGATTGACGTTTCGCCCTCACGATGCGTTGTTTCAACTTCACAATGAAACTTCTTGTTATCTTTCCTATCAATAAGCTTTGATTGTGTGCAGAGTTTATTGCTGTGAAAGTTAGTATATCGTCAAAGAGATTTCTATAAAAGTACTGCTAGTGGAAACAGCGCCTAATTATTTAAAATCTCCTCTGACCAAATTACGAAGATAAGAACGAGCGAAATGCTCTCACCATTTATTAGTCCTCCTGAGGAATGGTGATATGGCAGATATCTGTTCACTCTGGTCCACCAGCGACTTTCTCTTATTGTGCATCTCGAAGACTTCAAACTTCTCCGCGCAGGGATTTTTGCAGTGCCCTGAGCTGTTGAAAGCACTGTGACGTCTCTTCTGTCCTTGAATCGCAGACCATAACGCCATTTTGATTCTACATGGCTTTCCACTCGCCCTTGCGCA